GTTGTAATTGGTCGTAAAACGCTTCCCTTGCTGTTTTTGGCATATTATTTTCTGGGCCGTATACTCTGATGATGTTCACGGTCTTGCTTCTCCATTCTTATCTTTGCTGTTACTATTCTTTCTGATATGTATTGACTCTCTTTGATGCGATTTTGGTACCTTTGGTGTATTAGTAATGCTACACCTTCTTTGGCCCTGTTTTCTTTTGCTACTCCACTGTAGATTAGTATGTATTCACCTAATTTTGATTGACCTTTTCGTTTCTTTTTTGTTTCCTGTAGAGTTCAAATGTCTATTTTTTCTCTTTCAACATTTGGGTTATTTCGTGGTCCCTTGTTCAATTGCATTAATATAAATTTTTGTACATATTTGAATATACGAGGTCTGACTAGTAAATAACTAGACTGCTTATGAAAAAGAGTTTTATTTTAAAAATTATTCTACAATCGAATGCTTTCCTTCAATATATTCCCCTTCCCTCGCCACCACACGTTCCATTCGTTTTTTCATTGATGAAAGCAATGCTGGAAGCCTTCTTTTGTTAGAGCTTTTAGGAGTTCCGCCGTTTTTCATCTTCTTTCTCTGCCATCGACTCGAATCGGTTTCCTTTTAAGTCAGACTTAATCTTCGGAAACAGGAAAAAGTCACAAGGTGCTAAATCAGGCGAGTACGGCGGATTTTCGAGCACTGGAATGCCTCTAGCGTTATGGGCAGATGCGTTGTCCTGGTATGGTGCAAGATCCACGACTTGTTTTTCCACAACTCCGACCGTTTCTGACGAACTCGCTCTCGCAGTGATTGTCAAAACTTTCAAATAGTAAATTTGGTTTACAGTTTGATCCTCTAGAAACAATTCAGTCATAATGTCGAAAAAAGTAGCATGACTTTAAATTTTGATTTCGATATCCTTGTTTTTATGGATTGTCGCTTAGTTTCAACATCATATTTCAATATCCAGGTTTCATCTCAAGTGATGATGTTTTCCATTAATTCAGGCTCTTCGTGTAACCTCTCAAGTAAATCTGAGCAGATCTGTTGAGGAGCTTTTGGTCTATCTATCTATAGCCCAAAATCTATTCATGTGTTGAATATAGGCCTCTCCCATTTGTCTCTGTCTTCTGTTTGTCTTTTCCACATTGGACCTGGGCTTTGCTCAATTCATCTTTCCATCTCATTTGCGGTCGACCTCTTGACCTTTTTGTAGTATATGGTCTCCAGCGGCCAATTTCTTTATTTCATCTTCCATCCTGATATCTTTCGTTATGCCCAGCCCATTTCCATTTTAATTTCAATGCATGTTCGACAGTGTCTGTTGTTTCGGTTTTGCATCTTATCCACTCGTTTTTTTTATCTCTCAACGATATTCCCAACATTTGTCTTTCCATAGCTCTTTGAGTTTTCTCTATTCTATCTAAGTTGCTCTTGGTACACGTCCACGTCTGGGCACCATATGTCATGAACAGGTAGGACGCATGCATTAAATACCTTCGTTCTTAATTTTAAAGGTATTTTTTGGGTTTTGATAGTCTATCTATCTATCTAATTAGCCTTCTTCGGTCCATCTTTGGACATAGGCCTCCCCAATCCTTTTCCATTCTTCTCTGTCTGTCGCAACAGTCATCCATCTAGAGCCCACGTGCTTCTTGATATCATCTGCCCATCTCATTTGGGGCCTTCCTCTGCTTCGTTTATATTCCCACGGTCTCCAACTTATAAGAATTTTGTTCATCGGTCTTCTTTTTGTCTTATATTGTGTCCGGCAAATCTCCATTTCAATTTTGCAACTTCTTGTCTAACATCCCTCACTTTTGTTTTCTCTCTTATCCACTCGTTTCTCTTCTTATCCATTAGTCTTATGTGCAACATTTGTCTTTCCATTGCTCTTTGGGTTTTTATGATTTTGTCCATGTTTGCTTTTGTAAATGTCCACGTTTGGGAGCCATACGTAAGAACAGGGAGTACGCATTGATTATATACTTTGGTCTTAAGATGCTGTGGATATCTTTTGTTTTTAAGAATGTAGCTTAGTTTGCCAAATGCCGCCCATGCCAGTCTAACTCGTCTCTTGATCTCTGCTGTTTGGTTCTCTTTGTTAAGTTTTATAGTTTGACCAAGATATATATAATCCTTAACTTGTTCTATTTCATCTTGTCCGATTCTCATTGTGATGTCTTCATCTGTATTTGTTATAGTTTTGGTCTTGCTGTAATTCATATTAAGGCCTATCTTTCCAGCTTCTACGTCCAGTTCTTTCATCATTTCAAATAATTAATCTTTTTTATCGGTTATCAATACGATGTCATCAGCGTACCTTAGATGGTTCAAGCGTTGTCCACAAATTTTTATACCTTTTTTTTCCCATTCTAATCTTTTAAAAGTATCTTCAAGAGCCTGATTGAAAAGTTTCGGTGATATTGTATCACCCTGTCTCACGCCTCTACTTATTTGTAATGATTTTGTTCCTTCCTATACTTTAATTTTTGTTTTGGCTTCCTTATATATATTGGTTATTAGTTCCGTATATCTGTGGTCAATTCGGCTGTTAATCAAAGAACTTTTCACTGCCCAATGTTCGATACTGTCGAAAGCCTTTTCGAAATATATGAACGCCATATATAGAGGAATGTGGTATTCATTTGCTCGTTCTATAAGTATTTTCATACTTAGTAAATGGTCACTTGTGCTGAATCCCTTTCTAAAACCAGCTTGTTCTTTCGACTGGTATCCATCGAATTTTGTCGTCAATCTATTGGTTAAAATTTTTGTTAGGAGTTTATACATTACATTGAGGAGTGTTATAGGACGGTAATTTTTTATATCTGCTTTATCCCCTTTCTTGTGTAGGATAATGGTTACTGATTCCTTCCAGTTGTTTGGGATTCTTTTTTCTTTTAATATCCTGTTAAAAAGGGAATGTAGAGTATTAATTACCACTTTTCCACCATATTTCAGCATCTTTGTAGTTACTCCATCTTTTCCAGGCGATTTGTTGTTTTTCATTTCTTTCAATGCCTTCTTTATTTCTGATTTGCTTATATCGGGCTGCAGCTCTGAGTTGACATTTTTTATTTTGACCTTAAGTTGGTTTTGAATTTCTTCTGGTGGTTCCTTTTTTGTTTTATATAATTCTGAGTAGAAATGGTGGATTATATTTATGATGTCATCTTTAACGTTTGTTTCTATTCCATTTACATCTTTTATTTTGTTTATTTCAAACTTACCTAATTTCGGCCTTAAGCATTTCATATTTTTGTTGTTTTGTATTACTTCTTCTATTTTTATTTCTTGTTCTTTTCTCTTACTTTCTTTTATCATTCTGCTTATTGTTTTATTAATTTCTACATATTCTTCTACATTTCTTCTTTTGATAGTATATGACAGTTTTTTCGAATGCAGCCCACCCCATTCTTATTCTTCTGGTTATTTTTTTAGTCTGGTTACTTTTCTCTGCTCTGATAGCTTGTCCTAGGTAAGTATATTCTTGGTCGTGTTCTATGTTTGTTCCACCTATGGTAAATTACCGATCTGTCTTCTGTATTAGTCATTATTTTAGTTTTCTTTAGATTCATTTTTAGTCCTTTCTTAAGAGATGCTTTTTTTTCTAAGTCTGAAATCATTATTCGTAGTTGTTCCATAGTTGTTGCTATCAGGAGTACATCATCGGCGAATCTTAGATGATTTAAATTTTTAAAGAAGCTTTTGGTCAGGGGTCAAATTTTTTGGGACCAACTTCGCACAGACTTTCTTCATGTTCAATTCGTCATGTAAAATTTTTCCGAGAGTTTCTGTTTTGGCGTTTACACTCTCAGCAATCATCCGAATGCTCATGCGACGATCTCCGCGCACAATTTCATTTATTTTGGTCACTGTTTCCGGAGTTATCCTGGACGTTGGTCATCTTCGGCGCTCTCCCGGCCTGCAGAAAATCATTTATATTATTCGAAAACACGTGCACGAGATAGAGAATTCTTGCCATAGTATTTTTTCAACAAAATTATAACACCCAGTCGAAGTTTTTTTTAATTTAACGAGAAATTTCACATTAATCTGCTCATGTTTTTTTGTACTACTAGTACAAAGGATTTCCATAGTTTTCACTGTCTTCCTTCACTCAACCGTTTTCTCCAATTTTCCCTGTCATTCCAGGGTCCATCTCGCAGGGTTCTTTTCTCATAGCCTCGTCGATTTCGTCTCTGAATGACCTTCGGGGTCTTCCTCTCTTTCTTCTTCCGATCGGGCTCCATTCTGTGATTTTGTTTATCCAGCGTCCTCTGTCCGCTCTTCTGACGTGGCCGTACCAGGATACGTATGTTTTTTGTCACACATTATTATCGGCACGAGAAAAAAAAACACGTTCTTTTCTAACCTCTACAGAAAAAATACTACTACAGAGCGACAAAAACGTGTTTTCCTACTGGAAGAGTAGACACTTTCAGCTATCCAATGCTGCATTCATTTCCCACTCTTCCCCTCTAGGATGCCTTCTGCGCGCGCAGTCTCGTTATTTAATAGGCAGACCTCGTATAACGAGCTATTCGATAAGTAAAAATATATAAGTAAGTTAGTAAGTACATAGGCCACTCTCGAGTAAGATTAAATTAGATGTGTTTGTAATTAGAGAGAAATTAATTTGATATCAATGATAAATTAGTAGATTATCTTCTCACCTATATTAATAGCCTAAATGAGGTTAAAAGCTAATTGAAAATAATATCTTTGTGAGACAATTTTACCTACTTAATTTTAACAAGCAGGATGTATTCAGTTTACATTAATTGCACGAAATAAAATAATCAATATTACTTAAGAAGTGATAAAACTCAATCACTAAACTCCTGTTACATTGGAAGACAAGTTGGTGTGTTTATGAGAGTGATAAATTTTTAATACATTTACTTGTTGCCCAGAATTATATAAAAACAATTTGTTATCTTTATCTCTGTCATACTTAACAAGATAAGATTTCGTCACAACACACAACAACAAGAGCACATCCAGTGTGATTATCTTATTAAAATCAATTCTGACATTTTAGACCATTATTAAACAGTTTAGTAGAGGTCAGATTTATATAGAGTGAGTGTGGTATGACATCGGGGCCGGGCTTCATTCTACAAAAATTCAATCAAGTCTTCCGTTCCAGGTACAAAAAAAATGCTGCAGGACTTGACATAGAGGGACCCTCTACCGGCGGGAGGGCCGCGAGAATGCTGATAATGCCTTCGGTGCTGGAAGAAGTGGAGGACAACTCCGTATTTACCCCTTTAGTGGACTCCAGTGGTATACGAGTGATCCCACCTAGCCCTTCTTCAAAACCTTTGAAGAATATTAGTGAAATCAAAAGCCTTCTTCAGCAGGGCCGAAAGCAAGAAGTGAAACAAATTTTACGGAATAATTCTTGGCCTGTGAACAGTCCGATCCGAACCGAACTGTGGCCTGAATTGTGTACACAGCATCAAAATGACAAATCCAATTTTATGGAGGGGTTCTACTGGGATATGGTTAATCAGGTTTACGGGACCACCGATCTACCAGACAAATCTGTAAGTTTGCCACCCTTTGTGGAACCATCTCACTGTCAGTCATATTATATGACACATAAAGGAAGAAGTATTACAGATCGTGTTGTGTCAGTGTTAGGATATGCTTGCCCAGATATTGTTTATAGTCCAACAATATATCCAATATGTGCTCTACTTCTTCACTTCATGACTGGTAAGTTTTTTACTTTAAATATATGTTAGATAAACTAATTAATATATTAATGATAATTTCAAAAATGTTCTAAATAAAAATCTATCAATTTTTTTTATCAATACACTTAAAATATTGATGAGCGGCTGATAATTCCAACAAACACAATCTAATAAAAAACACAAGAAGCCCCGAAAGTTTGTAGAATATTCCTTAAACTATTTGTTTAATATATTCATAGATGATGCAATTTTTCTACCGTTTGCCATCTACTACATTTTCTACCCCTTACCACTATTGTTTCTTTAGTAAGGTAATTGACCAATTATTGACACTTTTAGAAAAAAAATTCGTGATTTTAGGTTATATCAGATAACTAAATGACTATGTGCCTTCCATTTTTCGATTGAATATCCATCAAAGTGTTCCAGTATTGATTTCTTTTAATAGAAGTGTAAATTTTCCAAAAATAAAAAGAAGGTGGGCTTAAAAAAATATGCTTTTTGAAACCAGTTATTGACATACCTATTTCAAGAAAAACCATTTGTTGTCAGTCCATTTATTGACATCTGAAATTATGACAAATCGTAGAAATATGCTTAGATGTAGGTATCTAAAGCTCGCAAAAAACAAAATATAAGTACTTAAGGCACTGTCCAATAATATACATAAGTAAAAAAATACACTGCTTAGAACATAAAATTCAAAACTTATTTAATAGAACACAATTTCTAATTAGAATTTTTTATGCTTCAAATAGGTAAGGAGAACTTATATTTTCGCCCCTTTCCTGTTCGCAGAAGTTTTGGAATGGGTAAAACCCCTAAAATACAGTCTTAGTAGTAATGCACGATAAATCCTTTTCATCAAAAATAAAATTTTGTTTATCCTGACTAATCGATTTCATGCACATGACTTCAACTTCTCGTTTGTTATAAATCTTTTGTACGACACAAACGTATCGAAAAATAGTTTTATTGCATTTGCAGCTACAAAACTTAGAATATAATCTCCAACAGAAATGTTGTCCGTATTTCTTATCTCACAAAGTCACTTTCGCCAAAAATATCTACATCGTCTGAACTTTGGCCACTTTCTTTCCAGTCTTCTTCTTCGGAGCTTTCAAGAACTTCATTTTTTTTCTTGTTTTCTTTTAATATGCTCTTTTCTTTTCTTCTAGCCATTCTTTCTTCCTTCTCTTCTAATTTACGTTTCTTCTCAAGTTGTTTTTTTGTATAATAGTTCATCCAAGCATCTGAGGTAATGACTGATGGGATCTTTTCTTTTATCTTCCGTTTTTTTTGTAGAAGGTTTGTGATCCGGTCGGCACAAGGCCTTTTTAAATAGAGTTGGTACATTTTGGTTAAATGATGTACTTGGACAACAACGGCTTGACCTAACTTATTTGCGTTTTGCTTTTCTGTATTGCCATGTTCCTTTTGTGGTGTACATTGATTAGGGCTAGTAACTTGATCACCTCTTTGGGCTTCTCTATTTTTCTTATCGTCTTTCTATGGCACTTCTCAAAAAATTTTATTTTGTTTTTCTACATTTTTTATTTGAAATATTTTTTTCTACGGTGCACAGATTCTTAGTAAATCGATTTTTGTTGCTTTTTTACCCCCTTGCGAGGGGGTTTTAGGGAGAATCCCGGGGGTAAAAGTGGTAAACTTTTTTGCATATTTTTTTGATTCCAAAATTAATATTTTCAGCAAAATTCAGCTTGTTCGTATGATTTTTAGGGTCAACTCTCTGACGATGGGACTAAATTAAATTTCGCAAACTATTCAATCTATCTGGCCCATCTTTTGCACACAATTCAAATACGATAAGCCCCTTAAGTTCTGGTACAGTTAAACAAATTTTAACAAATAATAAAAAAGTTATTAATAATATTCAAAACAGCTATTTTGTTGTTTATTTTGCAATAACTTTTTTGTTTATAAACCGATTTTAATTTAAAATACCTCATTTTGTGTATCTTTCTTTCTGAAAAAGTTGTCTGTTAACGTCAAATCTATACATAGACAAGTTTTTAAGTTATGAGCAAAATAATCAGTGTGACGTTTTGATTGTTTATTTAAAAATAGTTCCACTAAAAAATTGAGGAATCCCTACATAAGAGTAACTGTCAAACTCGTCTATAAGTACAGTTAGGTACAGTAAGGAAAAAAGGCTAATTTGCTACCATCTTGATTGGTCAATACATCACAAAAGAATATTCTTCTTATTATACTGCAGTGTATTATTTTATTGATTACTCTGTCTAGATTTTCTAAATTATTGCGTATTGTTAACATGTTATTATCATACCTAGTATTTGTACTTAATTACTTACTTATTAGATAAATATCCATTCAGTCATTTTTATAACACTTTCACTAATTATATTTCTAAATTTTTCTTTATTTTTCATATTTCTGAAATTTACTGTGTTCTAATTCAACCGTTCTATACTTTACATGATGATCTGGTTATCTTATCTATAAAATTTCGTAAGATAAATCACTAAAAACATATTTAAAAAAAAAAATACAAAATATAATCAATGTAATCACTCGTGAGGTGTTGCTGATAATTAATATTCATCTTGTGATGAATTTAAATGTATACAATCTGTTTACAATGTGATACTGCGTGTTTTTGATCTTATCCACAACATTTTTTATAAGGTTTACACAAATTGCATTATAGTACCTTAACAAACCTCACTTATATTAATTTTGTTTTACTCTACATGCCACTGAACCACTAAAAATCATACGAACAAGCTGAATTTCAATTTTAGGATCCCAAAAAAGGTGCAAAAACTGTAACACTCAAAAGTCCCCCAGAAGGGAGTGACACGGAAAAAAATCGATTTACCAATAATCTATAAGCCGTAGAAAAAAATGTTCTAAATAAAATTATAGCAGAAATAATTTTAGAGATGAAGCGTCCAATAATTTTAAATGTCAATTACTTGCGCGAATCAGTTTCAAATAAAATTTGTATCAACTTGACGGTAAAAATTCGATATCTTTTGATCCAAGTGTCCTATTGACAAAAATCGAAATGCGTTGTAAAGGTGATGAGTGCAGCTTTTGTATGCAATTTTTATATTTGGCCGTAAATGAAGTCAGTTTTTATAGATGTGTAAATAAATAAACGTTGCGCAATGATGCCATTTTTTTTGTGATTCTGATGCAGCTAATTTGCTACAGACACACGTTGAAACAAGAATTTATATTTTAAGCTACATAAACATATAAAAAATACATTACATATTTCCCTAACAGCAGTCAACGGTAGAATGGGGCCGTTATTATCACGTTCCTGTTCATAATAATGAATCAAAGAAGCTACCTACCATCTCTTTACAACGATTATTTAACTTCTTATGTGACATTTTGGAATTAAATCACACTAATTTTGTTCCAAAAAGAACAGAGCATAGATAAATAATATAATATTAGAAATAGATAGGCAACTCAATGTATAAATTTCGTTCACTATTCCCCCTTGCGGCTGGGGTCATTACTAATCATCTTTTGGCGGGAAATTCAAATGGACACCCCTTACATACATACCCTTTAGCGCCTCTTGCGGGCTATTTCGTTACTAATTAAAATTTACTAGAAAATATCTTACTATTTTCCGATGAAATAATCTCACATATATTATTAAAAAATAAAAGGATATATAAAAAATTCACAATTTTTTCTAGATATACGTATATTTATTTGTTGTTTAAGATAAAACAGTTATAAACTAATTACATAATATTTATTACACATATTTTCAGAAACAAATGTTAAATACTATTATTGTTTGCTTCCTGACAACTTACTATTTGACAACTTACTATCATCATACTTTTTGTAATTTTTCCATGATTTGTACACAACGGAACAATACAATAATTCACCATGTTTAGTTTTTTTACTAGCACAGCACAAAAATTCTTTGCTACAATAGGTAACTTAAACTAAACTTTAAAAACTAAGTAACCAACTTAAATTAAAATTACTAAGAATAAATGCAAACGAAAGTTAAAGATAATAAAATAAAATTGAAAACTTGTAAATAAACAGAAGATCTGTCATTACTTTTGACAGAATTGACATTGCGGAATTAAGCTTCGTTTGATTATTTTATTGACACCCCGAGACTGTGTTAAAATAAATGATTGGTTAAAGTGTTCATGAGAGAGATAGGCTGTCATTTCTCTTTATTAACTGCCTGGTTTCAAAGTGATGGGGGAATGTTCCAAGGTCATGCATATAAGTTTCCGGGGCATGGAATAGAGTTTAATTAGTAGTAAATACAGTGGAACCTGTTTAATTCGAACTTCTCTAATTCGAAATCTTCTTTAATTCGAATTTTTATTCTGGTCCTAGCATTTCCTATATAAGTAATGGTAAAAAGTCGTGAATAATTCGAATTTATTTTGGATAATTCGAACTTCTCTACAAGCTAAAATGCCAATTTCATGCTGGAAATTTCTGCGAAAAGAAAGTTGCGCCACTTGATTCGAGACATTCAAGACCATTGTACATTGTACCCGTATCTGGCACCTAAATTCTCCCGCACTTAGCATGCCCCTTCAGTAAACTTCGAACATACAAAACTTTGACGTTATTGGAAAAATAGCAGCAATTAAAGAAGTAGAAAATGGAACGAGGAAAAAATCTGAGACTGCCAAGGACTTTGGAATTCCTCCTAACCTATGATAATTTACACCTACTTCTTCAAGTATGGATATACCTACTTGAAGAATAAAGAAAAAACCTGAAGTGAGTGCGTAAAGAATAATAAAGGTTAAGAGACAGAAAATGCAAATGTGTATTAAAAGGGAGTCCCGTGGGTGGTCGTCTTATAAGAAGCAAAGCTGAACAATTTGTTGTTGAAATGGGGAAAAAATAACTTTAAAGCGAGTACAGGGTGGCTAGACAGCTTCAAAGAACGCAACTAAATTTTATTCAAATCCACTTGTGGAGAAAGTGAAGAAAGTTAATGTAAAAGAAGCCAACAAATGAAAA